CTCACCCCTGCGGCAGGCCCAGAGAAGAGTTTCTCCGACTCTGTCAGCCGGGACGCAATGTCACTTCTAGACGAGCCATCCAGCCCTGGAGATGCGCCAGGCTGCAGAGGGGGAGACAGCTGTGTCCCCTAAACACAGCCAAGGAGCCGCCTCCCAGAGCCAAACAGGACGGTGGCAGAAGCAGAGCTGGCAGGGGACTGGGCCCCAGCCGATGCAGGGACGGCCTTTGACAGACCTCCATCTGCCTGCAAGGTCAGGCCCGCTGAGCCCCAGCAGCCGGGACTCTGGCCCCGCTCAGGGAGCTGCTCCCTCGGCCCGGATGCCAGTAAGCATCTAGGCACTTATTAGCACCTACTGTATGCCGGGCTCCGTTCCTCCCCCACGGGAGCGACAAGGGTCAGCAGGGCATGAAGGACACAGACTACGGGCTGGCTCTCGGCTCTGTCTGTCCCACTATCTGTGTTCTGTCTCCGGGCCTCGGTCTCCCAATCTGTAAGTGGGGGTGAGAAAGCCCTTCCCCCCCTGTTAGCAGCGCTAACAGGACCTGTCTGTCCTCCGGGAATTTCGGCAGAAGCCCACCCAGACCTTCAGAGACACGCCATCCCCTCCCTCAGGACCTGGGGAGAGAAACGACGGCCCCGTATGGCCCCCTCCCCCTGGCTTCTAGAGGGAAGGCCGCAGGCATGGGCTGGGGAGGGTTAACCTGAAGAGTAGGAAAGCTGGCGAGGGGCTCCAAGCGACCCAGCCACAGACAGAGGACACGAGCCAGCAGAGTGCACCGTGGGGGCACCCCTTCGTGTCACCCAGGGGCACGAGGATGCCGGCCCCGAGCTCCTCCCCAGGGCATCCAGGGTCCGACAGACGCCAGGCAGAGGAGGCAGGCCTGAGGGTCACGAGAGGGGAGCCCCGGTGGTGGGTCCAGCAGGACCGGCTGAGCCGAGAGGAGGGAAGCCTTGGAAGACAGAGGTGACGGTGTCACCTGCACCAATAATTGGATGCTGCAAATGCCAGGGCTCCAAAAAGTGCCCCCAAGAGAGCGACCCGTGCTGGTCAGCCAGCACCTGGAATCTGGCACCAGGAGGACACGGACACTCGGGAAAACCC